ATTTTGTTGCTTGATCTGTTTGTGTTTTGGAATGTGAAGAACCGATGAGTGCCGGTTGGGTTTTTTTGCTCTGTTTTTGACAGTTTGGTTGTAAAAATTCTCACTTGATCTTCGGTGTGGATTAAAGAGTGACTGTTGTTTGATTGATCACTGAATATTCTCGTACAAATGGGATGTTAAAGATTGGGATGATTTTATTGTTCGTTTCTTTGCGAAATTGTATGATTATGATGGTCCTTACAGCTGGGTTCATTTACTGTAATTTTTTAAGTATCATCTATTTTGTTTAACTGTATTGCTTTTGAACCAAGAATTTTGGGATATTTGGTTAATATGCAGGAAAATTTTAGCTTTGCTGTTTGTGTTTTTCACTTTACATGCTCTTTTTGGTGAGGAATATGGATATCCTTTTGTCGAAGTTTTCGTATGCTTCTTCAAATAGCTTACCTACAATCTACGCTTATGTTTTTCCTTCTTATACTTTCTTTTACCTGTTCTGTGTTTCATCTTTCTGTTGAGACATTTTCCTTTGATGCTCTTAATAAATTGGCTGTGTTCCCACTTTGCAGAACTTGAACTGTTCGTGCCAAGTTCGAAAAGTGCCTCATTTTTGCCTTTTTGCAGTTAAACCACAAAGCTAAACCATTTGCTATCATTCTATACTGTAATTCTGCTGCATTGCAGAGTGTTCTCGTACTTCAGACTCTTAAGACTCATATTTGCGAAATATTTTTTTTTTTTGGGTTCTGTACTTATCTTCACTTCAAAAATCAGAATAGAATAGACAATGCTGATTGGAGCTCTTACTTTGAATTACACCTCTTTGCGGAATGCAGTAGTACTAATGATCACCTTCTCTAAAATTGCAGGTTTTTATACATCACTGATCTAACGATACAAAGGTAACGCTCGCTCTAGTGCATCTATTTAATCTTTACTTTAGTCAAGAATAAAAAATGAAAAAAAGAAATGGAACCTTTAATACATTTTCATGTCTTTTCCGCCTATGTGGTTTTAGTAATTTAGATTCTTCACTTAGGCCAAGTTTGGGCACTGCATAATCCGAACGGGTGCCCATGGATGCCACTGCTAGTGGGCCCTCGAGCGTGCAATATCACAACATTACCGAGCAAGCAATCTCCTCCCTTTCCCCTCAGCCCATAATAGCCCACACGAGGCAAACCCGTCATTGTTTCGGTAATGTGGGCCCAGGAGAGTTCCCTTTGTCCGCAAATCCCTCAATCGTCCTTCATGTCCTCACCGCGTGCAATCTCGACCCGCAAGACCTTGCCAAACTTGAGGCGAGTGTGTTTATATTCACCACTTTTAAAGAGAAAAAATAAAAATAAAAATCCTATCTTTACTGAAATATGGTATTGATCCGTATCTCCCTTTTTGCAGGCGACATGTTGGTTCTTTAAACAGCCCGCGAATTTTTCGCCCGAAAACGAGCTCTCATTGGCCGAGCTGGCGGCACTCGACATGTGCCGCAAACGGGCCGTGTTTAAATCGATGACGATCGAGCAAAGCCAAGATTTAAAGCAAATGTGTGGAGGCTCTTGGAAATTGGTCTTGAGGTACTTATTGGCTGGTGAGTTGTGTTACCGAAGGGAGAAGGCCCAGGCAATTGCGGGCCCGGGCCACAGTCTTGTTGTGACTAATGGTGGAAGTGTGTATACGTTCGGTTCCAACAGCTCAGGGCAGCTCGGGCATGGGAATACAGATGAGGAGTCACGTCCTCGTCTGATTAGGTTGGGTTTGTTAAAGATTTTTTCTACTTCTTATAAAAGTCTTGTGGGAAGTTACAAGGGATTACATTGCACTTGAAGTTTTTTGGTCTAATGATTAATGAGCCAGTTATAATTCAAAGGAAAATGTTATACACATCTTGTTCGAATGGTTAAATTTGGAGCTTTACAAATAATCCTTTGGCATTTACATTTCCGCAGTCAAGAGGAGCATCTTTTCTGAGGGAAATGCAAATGTCAAGGAATTAGTTTATAATATCATCAGATTAGTATAAGTGCAAAAGAGGCTGAATCTCAGGGCTCGTTTTGGTGGTTAACTCGTGTTTTGTTTTGCTGGAGAGAAAATATGTATACCTAATTTAGGCTAAACTTCTAAGGTGGAGTACAGATGGATGGCAAACGAAAAGATCGAATCTTGATTCAGTTAATTTTTTTATTTTTTTCACTCAGGTCTCTTCAAGGGATTCGTATTATCCATGCAGCTGCGGGGCCCAGCCGAACCATGCTAATTAGCGACACTGGCCGAGTTTACGCCTTCGGAAAAGAATCTTTCGGAGAAGCCGAGTACACTATCGAAGGGAACAATAACAATATGATCACGACCCCTCGGCTCGTCGATTCTTTGAAAGATATATTCGTCGTGCAAGCCGCTATGGGAAATTTCTTCACAGCTGTTTTATCCAGAGAGGGAAGAGTACACACATTTTCTTGGGGTAAGGAAGAAAAACTCGGCCATCAGATGGATCTTAATGATGTGGAGCCCCGCCCTTTGTTGGGCCCGCTCGAGAATGTTCCGGTTGTTCAGATAGCAGCTGGCTACTGCTACCTTCTTGCTCTCGCTTGTCAGCCTAGCGGCATGTAAGCTCGCCTTCTTACAAAAAAACATTCTCTCCGTTCAGTTTTACAGCCATATTCTTATATGTTTTTTTTTTTTTT